GCTCTCCCGGTATTCGCTGCTGGCCCCCCCCAGCAGCCTGTCTGAGCACAGCCACACGATAACGTTCTCCTGGGTTGCTCTGGGACGTGGCTCCAGAGGCCCCCAAGAACCACAGCAGATGCCACGGCATGTCCCCCAGCAATTCCTGCCACTGCCGCGTGCCACAAGCACCCACTGCACCATGCACGGGCGAAACGTCCCCTTCGAAGGGAGCGCTGCCCAGCAGACCACACCGCAGATGCTCTCATGAGCTACCAAAGGGCCAAACCATGTTCCTCCGTCAGACCAGCTTCTCTTTTCACAGCCGGCGTCCCCACAGGGCGCTGGCCTGCCTTTGGTCCCTCCTTCCTCCCGGCTCAGGTTCTTGCAAACCTCAGAGCAGCAAGGACTCCAACAGCTCAAAGACTGCTCCCAGTCCCCTCCCTCCAAGGGGACGGTGCTGCCCCACCTGCGGATGGACCTTGGCAGCTCTGGCGCAGCGGTGCTGCCGCTCGAAGGTGGTCTGGCTCTGGTGCGTGGGTCGGGTCAGGGACGAGGTGAGGACGGAAGCGGGTTCGGGGATAAGGCAGCAGTTTTCACCACCTCTCCTGCAGCAGCCCCTCAGAGAGCGCTGCCCTGGCATTTAAACATGTCCACCAGCGATTCCTCCTCCTCCTCCTCCTCACCTTATTTCAGTGAGGAGACAACCTGGAGGTGAAGTGACGTGACCGTGTCCTGCAGCGACACAGTGGCAGAGCCAGGACAGAACCCAGTGACCTGTGTCCAGGGCCAAGCTCTCGGCTGTGGCCAGTTCCTGGAAAAATCTTGCCCCTTGTTCCAGCAGGCAGTTATCTGCCCAGAGCCTGGCAGATAATCATCCCCACACGTCCACGCCTGCACGCCGCGCCTGATCTGTCTCCCTCTATAAACCAGATGCATCACAAGTGCTTACCTGCTCTCTTTTCAAGGCAGCCAACCCCAAAATCACCAGGCAGGAGCAGGGCTGGGGTGGTGCTGGTGACTGCCAGCGCTGGGAGCGCTTTATCCTGGGCTGCCCGTTGCCTGCCGGTCCCTCGCACGTGGCTTTGCTTTGTCCCTGCATCACCCCAACACCTCATCCTGGAGAAAACCACCGCGGGGGCCAGCACCGCTGGCATGGCCACAG